CTCTTATGTATGTATGTATGTATGTATACATACATACATACATACATCCTATTTATCTTCTGTGTATCTTCAGCTATATATCTATATTCTATCTCTATCATCACTCTATCTTTATCTCTATCTCTAATCTATCCATTATTTCTCTCCCCTCGCTCTTATGTATGTATGTATGTATGTATCTATCTATCTATCTATCTATCTATCTATCTATCTATCTATCTATCTATCTTCTATCCATCCATCCTATTTATCTTCTATGTATCTTCATCTATATTCTATATCATCACTATCTCTCTCTCTCTATCTATCTATCTATCCATTATCTCTCTCCCCCTCCTATCTATCTATCTATCTATCTATCTATCTATCTATCTATCTATCTATCTATCTATCTATTATTTATCATCTATCACATATACATACACATGCATACATACACACATACACAAATACAAATATGTCTATATACAGACACACACAAACCTGTGTGCATACATTTCTGTGTGTGTGGATGTAGAAAGTTTGGGGTTTTTTTTAGTTATAAACATGTCTCCAGTCCCTCCTTTCTTTCTCTGCCTTTCTTTAAAACGTTGCTCTATTAATGTGGAAACTTTTGAAATGAGCATAGCAATGTTAAGGGAAGGCAACAACAGGATGGGGAAGTAATTTGCCGGATGTTATGCTATGTGCAAGTTATGCAGTTGCTGTGGGATGCTTGGGCAAAGTTTTGGAAAAGGTGTGATTAGTTTACATGGAGAATGCTTGAGGGGGTGGGTGGGAGAAGCCTTTGATCTTCACAACAACCAGTTCCACCTTGAAAAGTGGTGTCAAGAATTTTCATAAAGGAGTTAGGTTGCTTATTTTGCACTGTATTGACGCCTTTCCTTATTTCATTAGCAAACACCTGGGCTTTCCTTTCTCTTGCAAACAGTGAGCAGATCTCTTTATGCGTGTCAATCTTGGAGAGATTCCTGCAGGTCATGGATCCCTTGGATGTAATCCAAAACTTTGGGGAGGAACTTCAGAAGGGACTCTTTCACCCGGATGATTCAGTCAAAATTCTGACCATCTCCCAAGTACGTGTTACAATTCAGTTTTGTAATCTACTCAAAGAGTTTAAGAACGAGATGATTACCCAGTCCTGCGCTTCTCTGTTTTCATGCATGTGCTGCAGGCGTCCGAAACAACACTGGAGGTGATATAGATAATCCTTGATTTACGACCACAATTGAGCCCAAATTTTTTGGTTACTAAGCGAGACATTTGCTGACTGAATTTCTTTCTTGCCACAGTTGCTAAGGGAACAGTGGCATTTGTTAAGTTAGTGACATGGTTGTTAAGTGAATCGGGCTTCCCAATTCACTCTGCTTATCAGAAGGTTGCAAAAGGAGGATGACATAACGCTGGGACACCGTCATAAATATGTGTCCGTTGCCAAGCATCTGAATTTCCATCCCGTGAGCATGGGGCTATTGCAACGGTCATAAGTCTGGAAAATGGTCGTAACTCACTTTTTTCAGTGCCGTGTAACTTTCTCAATGGTCACTCAATGAACTGTCGTAAGTCAAGGACTTACCTGTACACTGTACATTAACTTCGCCCTCTTTTGTGTTTTAATTACACTGTACATTAACTCCGCCTTAAAGTTTTGGGCTAGTAAGCAACCCAAATGCTTTGAGCGATTATTTTTAAACGTTCAGTTTATGAAACCCGCAAGGCAATGTCAAGAGAGGGCAGCTGAGAATGAGACTGAAAGACCAAAAGGAAGAATGGAAGAAGAATGGAAGTTGGAAACTGTCCAGTGACTATAAATTATGTTGCGCCCCTAGGTTGGAAGAGTTGTTGAAGACGCTGTTGCTGTGAGAGAAATCCTTAACACTCCTGAATTATTGAGGCAGATTGTCTATTGCATTGCTGCCGAAAAAATAGCAGTGGCGAAAGAGGTTGGTGCTTGTGATCTGACGGTTGTGTGGGGGGGAGGAAAGGCCATCTAATCCACTGAAGTTTATAAATCTCATAAATCATTTATAAACCTTATCTATTGGGCCAATCAAGTGGCTCGGTGCGCCTAGAGGCGGAGCTCTCGCCTCACAATCAGGAGTCTGTTGTGTTCAATCCTAGATAGAGGCAGATTGAGAATATATCTGCTGAACAAAACTCCGCATTGGCGACAGGAAGGGCATCTGGCCAGTAAACAGTTTTGTCCAGACTCCAACCCCACAGGGGATTATGGGCCCATTAAAAGAGGATGATCTATTGGGCCATTCGCACTCTTAGCCCTGGGAAGAAAGCAATAGCAAGCCACTTCCAAAATATTGCCAAGGGACAAGTACTGCAGGGACTTGGCAAGGATTAAACACAGACTCAAAGGCGCCCCTCTCCCCTCCCCCCCCAAATCTAAATTATGGGTAGCCATGCGTTCTGGAGCACTGCATTTCCAATTTCTGTTTTTGCAACTCAAGCATAGATCCTTCAAGAACTACCTGTGGGATCCCTCTGCTGAATCTCTTAGAAAGAAAATGAATATATTCAATTATGTACCAGATTAGACACATACACACACACACATATGAACTGTAGTCAAAACTATTTCTTGATTATTTCCAAAGGTCAAATATGTGCCTTTCTCAGTGTTTAGGTCTCTGACTCCCTTATTTGTCAAGGATCCTGTCAGAGTGTGCACAGTGTGACTACTATTTTGAGACAATTAAGGCGCAAAATACAGTACACAGAGGTTTTGTCTGGTGATAGATACACAAGGAGAGAGATACATGAGGAGGGAGGAAGAAAGAGAGAGAGTGTGTGAGACCCTCACATGGCCTCCCTTATATACAGCTTCTTAAAGTGGCAGTAACCCTGCTACTCATCCTCACATGGCCTCCCTTATATATACAGTTTCTTAAAGTGGCAGTAACTCTGCTACTCATCCTCATGTCATCATCTCAGCCTTACAGCAGCTTCATTAAAAGAGTCATTTGCTACGAGATGGGTGGCAAATAAATTTGATAAATAATCATTTAAAAAATCCCCAATGTGCTGGACTACATATACGACCCATTGTACAAAGCCTTTCTCTTTCTTCTGGAAAATATTTTTTCCCGAGAACGGTTAGATCTCTCGTCTTAAGCCGCTTGAGGTGGGCAGAGAGAGTTATCTGAATTCAGGCTGTGCAACTGTTTTGCCTTTTGCTAATTCAGGGTCTCCACACCCCAACGTACGCACAGATCCGCTGTTCCAGTTTTTCATCGACAACTTTGTTTCTTAGGCCATCAAATCTTTGTCCAGGATAGCCCAGTCACCAGAGGGCTTGGAAGTTTTGCTGGCGGGGAATCTGCTCATCGACTTGAAAAACGTCATGGCGAAGAGCGACATCATACGTTATCGCGTGTATGAGGCAAGAGTTATGGGGTGTTGTTTTTTATTATTATTATTATTTTGAGCCGATAGAGGACAGAAATACATGTCTTTTAACTGTCAGGTGGATGATGTGACTTAGAAACATTATTTTTTATAAAGTTTTTTTTATTTGTTTTCAGTTTTAAAAATATAAACATTCCACCTTTCCGTCCCCCCAGGCCTTGAGTTTGAAACCTCTGCCTTAACTTACCTACGTTTAATTAAACGACTGCTGATCTGATTTCCAAATGGGGGAGGGGTGCCTGCCCATTGCAAAGAGAAACACTTTTAAAGAGATGCGTGGCTCAGATTCCTGTCCTTTTTGTGCGTTTGTGTTAGCTAGTGATCAATATTTCCTCTACGTCGGTGGATTCCCTGAACTACTGTGTGAACAGCGGCTTACTATCGGAAATGATCGAGGAACTGACGGGAAACGATGTGCTTGTCAGGTACTTAATGGGACGGGCCTCAGCAGGTCTTGGGGGGGCAGCCTTGCTATCTCTCTGCTGCTAGTATGGCGCAGTGGTTAGAGTGCTGTACTGCAGCCACTTCAGCTGACTGTTATCTGCAGTTCGGCGGTTCAAATCTCACTGGCTCAGGGTTGACTCAGCCTTCCATCCTTCCGAGGTGGGTAAAATGACCCAGACTGTGGGGGCGATATGCTGACTCTGTAAACCGCTTAGAGAGGGCTGAAAGCCCTATGAAGCGGTATATAAGTCTAACTGCTATTGCTATTGTAAATCCGTGGCTGCGTCTCAGTTTTGCTGGCTACCTATCTCCAATCTCTGCCCCCAATTCGTACTTTGCTTCCAGTGCTTTCTTAGATGGGGAGAATGAATTCCATTCTCTGCACATACACATTTTCTTCCCCTTGCAACCCTACCAAACCGTGATTCTTGGCTTCTGTGGTGTGTACCCCCGCCTCCCTGCTTTCAGTGCCCCCGCTCCCCCAAATATCTTCGCCTAAATAGCAGTTGAACTTAGTTTGGTCAAATGAGGACCCAGATTGTTGGGGAAAAGATGCTGGTTCTGTAAACTGCTTACAGAGGGCTGCAAAGCACAGTGAAGTGGGATATTTAGAGCTTCAATGGCACAGTGGTTAGAGTGCAGGTACTGCAGGCTACTTCAGCTGACTGCTAGCTGCAGTTTGGCAATTCAAGTCCCACTGGCTCAATGTTGACTCAGCCTTCTGTCCTTCTGAGGTGGTAAAATGAGGCCCCAGATTGTTGGGGGCAAGAGGCTGGCTCTATAAACCGCTTAGCAAGGGCTGTGAAGCAGTGTATAAGTCTTAAGCACGAGGGCTGTACACTGGTGTTTACCTGTAGGTGGAGCTTCCTGGGGCATTAGGAGGACTATTGATTCTCATCTTTCTGAAGTGGTCTGTTTGTCTGTTTTGAAACAGAGTGACCTGCATTGAGATGGTGACCTCACTGGCCCAAACTCATCATGGACGGCAGTATCTCTCCCAGCAAGGCATCATCGACAAGATTTCCAATATAATCACTGGAGCCGATTCAGATCCCTTCTCCGGTTTCTACCTGCCAGGTGATTACACGTGGCCTTTGGGCATCTTGGTCTTGGTAGGGTTAATACTGTATATTTGTGGCCTGCTGTTCTCCAACCCTGCAGTGCAATTGCTGTATTTTTTGGAGTAGAAGACACACGTTTCCCCCTCCCAAAAGAGGGTGAAAAGCTGGGTGCGTCTTATACACCGAATGTAGCCAAAAACGAATGCGAGGCATGGAGGAGGCGGTGGTCTGTGGCAATCCCTACAGCCCGGAACACCTGATTGGGGGTATTCGAGGCCGATCCACCTGCCAGTCAGCCGCTCATGCTGAATCAGACTGCAATAATGTGCTGAAGCTGATCTGCCTATTCACTATTTGCTGCAAGGACGTGCCAGATTTTGCAGCAGCAATCACATTCAGAAAGCACACAGAAGTAAGTGATCCAGCAGCATTCAGTAGCTTCTCTTTATATATAACACATGAAGTAAATATACAATACCAAAAGCAGGTTTTCCAATGTGGTTCAGCAGAGGAGAGGAGTTTCAGTTTTAGTTTCAGAGATTGGCACAGCCTGCAGCTTTAGTACAGAACAAGCCACGCCCAGGCTCCTTGCTCTCTCTTTTCTTGTTGCTCACACAGCAAATACTGTTTGTTTCCAACCAGCCCTCAACTCTCTCACACACCGACAGGACGCTCGCTAGTTGAATACCATGGTTGCTGGTAGGCAGAGGCAGAATATTTTTTTTCTTATTTTCCTCCCCCAAAACTAAGACGCGTCTTGTACTCTGAAAAATACAGTAGTGTGTGTGGCCCAAAACCTATCTTGCATTCTGTAACATTAATTCTGCTTCACATTTATAACCTCGGTTTCTTTCATGCTCTCTTTCTCAATCCCAGTTTGAATCTTGGTCCAGTTTTGGTTTTTTTTCTGCATAGGGAAGAGCAGAAACCCGTCCTTGAACAGAGGGTGGGTCCAGATGCTCTTATTGTAGGAATAACTTGCTTCCTGTGTTTATAAGGTTGAAATCTGTCGAACCTGGTTTTCAGGGTTCCGAGTAACTTGCTCTGCTGACATGGGGCTATCTTGGCAGGTTTTGTTAAGTTTTTTGGCAACCTGGCCATCGTGGACAGCCCTCAACATATCTGCGAGCAGTACCCTGCCTTCGTAGGGAAGGTCTTCAGCATGGCCGAAGGCCAGGACCCCACCTTGTTTGGCGTGGCGGTGGACACGCTCGCAATCTTGGGCTCCAACGTTGAGGGCAAGCTGGTGCTCCAGAAGACAGGTTTGTGCAGCGTGGGCGTGTAAAAGTATAACCGGTTACAAGGCTAGAAGGAAAAGTGGGGGGAGGGGAGATGCTTTATGGGCCTAGCCAAAAAACGGAGTTTGCTTTGGTTTCCAGGCAGTCGGTTCCATCGCGTGCTAAACAGAATCGGGCACCAAATCAAGAACGCCCCGACGGAGACGCGAATCCGATGCCTGGATGCTATTTCATCTCTCTTGTTCTTGCAAGTAAGTTACAGGCAATCCGCTTGCCTCGCCAGCTACCAACGTAGCCCATCTCTCTCTCCCTCCCTCCCTCTCTCTCTCCCTCCCTCTCTCTCTCCCTCCCTCT